ACATGTATTTTGACATTAGTTTAGAAAGGTGATTGCGCTTAATCTGTGTGTCTCCTAAAATGACCTCAGAAAATTCCTATTTCAGTTCCTACTCAAGACTCCAAGTAGTCCACTTTTCACCAGCTGTTGCCTTAATGCTGCTATGTGCTTCTCAAAGTGGTCCAGACAGTCTTGTATTTCTAACTGGTTTAACTAGGCTGAATGAACACTGTAGAGGGAAATTCAGTGTTTAAGAAGTTATCCAAGCCTTTTATTTACTATAGATTTAAAAACCAAGACAAAAAAACCCCAAACCGTGAAACGCCTGGCAGGATTGTGTCCTGACATTTATTTTTATTAGGTCTTTGGTTTTCAGCTTGTAATACAAGCAGCTAGTTGGTCGTGTTTTAAACTGAAAAATGCTTCAGGTTCTGATTGTTGTAATTCTGTAGCCTGTTCTATCTAACAGTCCTTGAAATCTTGCTGGAAATAGATGAGCTTCACTATACTCTTTTTACAGTTTGGAAAAATGAGGTACGTGACTTCTCAGGAAATGAGTTGCAAAATTAGAAGTAGTAAATGCAATTCTACTTCCTAATTCCTTTCTGTAACTCCACAAATATGCCGATACTTCTGTGCTGCCACAGGAGTGAGCTCTAAGCTTAGCAGTTTGTGATGTGGTTTTAATGGCATTCATGTGAAAAGATGCTCAGTCAGCAGCTGGAGTTCCTCGGCTGATTGCTGTCTGGCCTTTTAGCAGTTATCACATGGTGCTTAATTGTATTGTGCTGTTCCAGCATTTGGTGTGTAGTGTAAATATCTGCATAAAATTGAAAAATACTAGTAGGAAACTTAGGCAAATTGCTTCTGGCCATCTAAATATGAAAATTTCTCTCTCTTAGGGGCATCTGGCTCTGGTCAGAGGAAAAACAAGGGCGGTAAAGTCAGCCCCACCAACTTCTCATCATCCACTCCTGGCAGTCGACTGGGTGGCAACGTAGTTCTGCCAAATGGAGGGCTGACAATAAGGGACCCCACCACTGGAACTCAGTATGTGCAAATTCAGCTTCTTCAGGTAAGAGCTGAGGAGGAGAAACGTGCTCATCTTCTCTGTTACCCAAACTGGCACGTTATGGAAGAATCTGACTATCTGAACTCGGGTACTACTGCCCCTAGACGGGATCTTGAGACCTGCAGTATGTACCATGTCCCTTAGGGCATTTGCCCACAAGAAGCACTTTCCTGGGAAGTTTATATGAAACTGGCTTTACAGAGGTCTGGAAATACCTGAGAACAGAGCTGGTTCAATCATACAGATGCACTGTGAATATGGGTAAGATGGTTTTATTTGGTTTAGTACAAATTTTTCAGCCCAGCCTGGAACATACGGGCACTGTAACTGTAGGGAATATCCTGTTAGCTTCTTAGGCCGGATACGCTTGATGCGAGAAGCGCTGTGATGGAACTAAGACTTTTAGCAAACTTCCCTTTTGCACGTGAGAGTTGTGATCTTTCAAAGGCTTAGGATTTTTCCAGGTTGGACAGGCAGTTATGAGAGCGGTGAAACAGATGCTACGTTGCTGTCCCAAAGTATGGGGTAATTGTTTTTCCAAAAGGAAAGGTTTACTAGCATGCATTACCTTAGGGGATGCATGGGAGTATGACTTTTTCCTCCAGTCTTTTTTATTGCTGGCACCCCCCCAAATCCTTACATGACTCCATCTCTCTCTTGTTTACATGAGTAAATGAGACTGACTTGAAAAGTTTCCTGCAAAATGAAGTTTCAGCCTAAACTTTTATTTCTCTAAACTGTTGAAATGAAGCTTAATTTTTTTTTCTAAGAGTATCTAGTAATCCATGTGGGCTGATTAGTGGAGCATCGTGGGTAGTAAGTTTTTGGCCAGGTGTATATTTGTATAGTATCCAGAGAGAGGGTAAGTTCATTCCACTTCATTCCTAACAACATATGGTATGGAGGAAGCTACAGGCAGAGTTCTCCCTCTGTATAGTTTTCTGATGGGTGTAAATGTTTGTAACTTTTATGTTAAGTATCAGCTTCACACAACGTGGTGAAACTTGTCGCTTATTTCTGAGTGTTAAGTTTGTTGGAATATGAATGATTCATTCCCTCCTTTTCCTATCTTGCCAGTTTTCTGAGTCGATTACAATAGGTTAATAGGTTGTATGCTGAGCTAGGTTCACATTTAAGTGGCAGTTAGCTTTCCACATATCTTTATGGATCTAGGCATTACTAGTACAGTGCAGAAGCTTTATCAGATTTTTTAAGATTGTGAGGCTGAGTGAAATGTGCCATATTGTGCTGAGATGCTTGGGGGTCTTGTAAGTTCATCATGTATCTGCATTCACAGGATGATTCCCCAGGAGAGGGAGATCTGCCCTTTCAGCTGAGCTCGCAGTCCTCCTCATCGCATTCTCAGCTTACAGTGGATTTACCTGTTCACATACTTCAGGTACAGCATGTCAGAGCTGTTGGGTTTTATTGGCTGGCTGGAAAGGGAAGAGTTTACTGTGAACACTCTGGTGTTCTGCCTAATGAAAATAGTTTGTTTTCCATGGGGAGTTTATTTTCACTCACAAGCAGCAGTAAGCAGAGAGCTGCACTGCAAGGTTTATCTTGTGTATGTTACCAACCTTTGACACGTCACAGGTGGTTGTTTTTCTTCCTGTTACCGAGTAATGAATAACTGAATGTTACTCATTTATTACTGAAATGCCCCATGCTTGTTTTCCTGATCCCATGCTGCAGATATTAAGTGGGTCAGGAAAGAGGAGCAGAATTGGTATGTAACACGCTACGGGAAGGGTGGGAAGTGGAAACAGAAACTGGAGCCTAGATTTCATAGCGGTGCCTATATGGGAATAGCAGTTAGGTTAAAAAGTCTGCTCACTTCTGCAGTCTTTGTTTTCACTACTTGCCCTTGTTAACTCCTGAGTGTCAGTGTTGTCGGAACACAGAAAGCTTCATGTAGCTTCTTGTGTCAATGTTTTGTTACCTGCTGTTCTGGTAAACTGCATGTTAGTGAGTAGGAGCAGCTGAGAACCTAGCAGCAGTGAATGGTTAGCATGTACATAAACCACATTTTCTGCTTGACCATGTGGGGCCTTGGTTTTGATGAACTCTGCAATGCAGTTATTCTTACCAAGTGTGCTTCTTGTGGATAGAAAAGAAAGCTTCTGTGTTTGAGAGGAGCACTTTACTATGATAAATCTGGAAGTACTAGGATTGTTGGCCATGGTAGAAAGTTAATACAGGAAAAGCAAATAGTCAGTGATTTTTAGATTTATCTGCATGAGTAATGCTCCTCTGAAGGGTTCCAAAGAAAAGCTGGAGTAGCACTGTTTGAGTGGGTCTCCAGAGTAGGAAAGCTTTGCATGTCCTCTGAACCATTCAAAGCGTTTCTCTGGTCTGGGTTAAATGTCAAGGTAATATTACTGATAAGCGTTAAAAGCATCTGGAGGTGAAAGCACTGAACTCTTCATGCTGTCTGTTTGCTTTAACAGGAACCACACAATTCCACTGAAGATGATGCAGGTTCTGATAACTCTCAGTTCACTGGAAGCACAATAAACTTACAGGATCTGGAATGACCATTATTAAGAACAGTTACCTGAAGAAAAATTGGGCAATCATGTCTTGACAGAGTGAGATAACTGTGTGGGTCTTTTTCCAAGGAAAATATGAAAACTAGGAGTACTGGATTATGGTTGCACTCTTTGCAATTTGCTAAGGACAGTTGCAGCTGAAAGATTTTCTTAAAAAATGTAAATCCCACTTGATGTGCCTGTGTAAGATACTCCGTCTGCCTTGTGGGTGGAGAGACTGAGGCAGACTGCTGTACAGTGTTGTTTCAGGGAGAAGTACTGTATTAAACTTCAAACTGAGGTAATAGTTACTGTTTTCACAGGAAAGCAAGTATTCTACAGCTAACAAGTACAAATTTATAATCCTGCCTATGACAGTTAAAACTTTCTTTCCGTTGGTCTCCTGCTGGAGCCAGTGGTGTTGAGGAATTAAGAGCTAAAATTTGCAAGTGTTTTTCACACACACAAAAATAATTGTTTCGGCCCCTGTGTTTTGGCAGAAAAGTGGAATAAAGTGTCATATGTAACAGAATTAATGCCCTATGCCATGAAAATGAGATGCTCTAAAATCTTTGTTTTAGAAAGCTAGATTCTAAATGTTAACTTAGCTGTGAATCAGTTCGTAGCTCATGTTGAGTTTCTCCCATTCCTTGCTCCTGCATCCCAAATACTTTGCTGAATTCTTCCAGCAAAACTTGAAAAAGAAAACTGCAATAGAACTGTGCTCGCTGTAAGTGATTAGCTGAGAGTCCAACAGCATCTGAGAAAGGTTCGTGTTATCTTTGTGTTCCCTTTCTTTGGGAGGACTGTTGTCCGTCACATAAATTTAAGCACCTTGAGTTTATCTCATCTATAAACCGCTGCCAAGTTACCTGTAAACTGGCCACTATCTTTTATTTCATTTGTTTGTTTGCTTGTTTCCGATTGAACACTCTTCACACTTGTTCTTTATTGCGGTCCCCTGAGTGTCACATGCACGTGGAGCTTCCGGCAGGTTTACAGAATGTGCAGTTGCCCGAGTATTTTAGGAGGCGAAAAGAACTGTTACCTAGGAAGATTTGCCCCACTGAAAAACTGCAGTTTCTCTTGGGGGTGGGGGAGAGGTTGTATGTACTGTACTTACCTGGATTGCGGACACCTAAATAAGTGTAGGGTTGTATAGGGGAAAAAAAAACCCCTTTGGTTAGATTTTACGGTCGTAATTTAAATGTTTCTTACAGTGATGTACTGAATGCCTATAAAATTATGTATAGGAGTTTGATAAAAGGGTGTATGTACTGTTTTTTATTCTCAATGAGGTGTGTGTATGCACGTATGTGTATTTTTTTTACAAAATAAGATACGTCATGCGGAAGAACGTTGTGATCTTTCTAATCTTGCACATATTTATTTATTTTATGGTTATACTGATGTTGAATTCACACGAGGTCATTCAGAAATGCTTTTACTTCCTGTGCCTTTTGAACAATGTATGTGTCCAGATAAATCCTTTTTTGGTTGAAGACTTGGGGAGAAAAAAAGTATACAGGTTACATTCAACTTCAGATCCTGATTTGTAGGCAGTATTTTATCCTCTGGTTGAACCAGTTTTATTTTTCTATCTTCAGCTTAACTGAGCATTGAGGTCTCTCTGTTCCTGTCGTCCTGATTTCACAGCTTATGGCCGAGGAATCTCTTAGCCCTCTCAGGCTGGGTCTCCAAACCAAACTAGTTGGTAGATAAGATCTTCTACCTGGTGGCTGTGACTACAGCGTGGAGTCCACTCCTGAGAGGTAAAAAGGTTGAGGAGGGATCATGCTGAAGGGGGACTACTGGGACTTGTGCTAGTGGTCATCATGCTCTGCCTGGAAGCTCAGACACCTCAGGCCCCCAGTGCCTGTATTGTTCTGTTCTCAAGGACCATACCAGTTCTTAATCTATTAAAATGGCCAAGGAACACTCCATCTTTTTATGGGACTTGCAACCGAATCTTTCTACTTCTGAAAATGTACCTCACTCAGCTTTGTAAGTGAATGTAAAGTGCTAACCTCTTGGGGCCGAAAATTGGATCACTTGGTGTGACCTCCATTGCTGGCAATGGATACCTGAAGAGCTGCTGGTGCAAAAGGGTTAATAAAGCATTTTTTTATGGTCAGTTTGTCACTGGGTATTTTTCTTTGTGTCGATGCATCTGACATAAAGCTGACTGTTACCATCTTGATTTCTGGAGAGCTTGTGTTCTTCTGTTGCTTGTGTCTTCTCCACAGTAGTAGGGTGCAGTCTATAATGAAACCCGGCCTTTGGGTTAAAGCGTAGCCTGTGTTTTTTATAGTTCTGCAACAGATTTGTGATTATAATAAATGTCTGGCAGGTGCCTGGCTTAGTCATGTCATAACAAAGATTGTTACCCAGGACAGTCAGGTTTCTAAGGGGTAGTGCTATTTGTGTCAAAAACTGAAAGAGAAAAGCATTGTTGCTGGCAGGAGCCTGAGAAGCAAACCGAGAGAGACTGCTGATTTATTTTCTTAGGCAGAAGATCAATGGGAGGGGAGAGTGCCTGACACAACGCCTTTCCCTGGATCTTGGGGTAGAAGATAGGGAGTTTCATGGGGTCACGAAGTTCATCAGCTGAGCAAAGACGAACCAACTGTAGATGTATGGAAAAATGTTTTTCTAGAGCAGCATCAGCCCTCCATGCTGTGGTTAAGGCTGTGCTGTCGAGAGAAATAATAGAGTTGTTCTTCCTTCTCCTGGTCCGTTTGTTCTTGGCTGTGCTTTTTCTTCTCCCTCCTGGCAGGTGGGCTGGAGCGAAATGTCGGCCTCCGGCCGCTCTGCAGAGGAAGAAGAGGTGCGCGCGTCAGTGCTACGTTGGAGCAGCGTCTCCGAGTTGTGCAGCTACTGGTCAAGCTGCTCTGCGAAGAGCTGTGGTCCCTTGCCGTCTGTTTTCTAGGCAGGTTTCAGTGTGTCTAGTAAGTGTGTTTTTTCTATTAAAAAATGGGTGTTGAGCACCTGAAGGCTGTGCATGTGCTAGTGCTTCAGCTGCTACAAAGTACCATTCCACCTGCAACGGTTTTCTGACTAAAGCCTTGTTGGTGTGATCTCAAGAGGATGGGAAGTTTGAGGTCTGAAGAAGTATCTGCGGGAGCTTGCAGAACCCTGTTATTTTATCTTGGGTAAAGAGGATGGGGCTCATGGTACCTGTTCTCTATCACCCATGCTATCACCAGCTGGGTGTGTAACCGAGACTTGGTGTGTCCTCGCCATCGTGTTGACCCGTGAAACATGCAGCAGGAGCCGTGGCCTGAAGCTCTACACTGTGCCTCCTGAGGGGCCAAAGCTCACTGTGGGGTAATGTGGAACATGCCAAAAAAGATATGGCTTGATGGTAGGTCTGAGCTGATCTAGGGCCTTGCTGCTCTTGTAGGAACTATCCTGCTACTGCCCAGTTCGTCTTTTTGCTCATTTTCATGCTTTTTTAAATACTGCCAGATTAACAAGTTGGAACGAGCTTAATGAGAAAACTGGCAAGTAACAAAGGGGGCCATGTGGTCAAGACACAAGGATAGGAGACAGACGGGCGGAGGACGCTGAGCTGGAATCTCACAGCATAACTGGCTTCCCAGCAGTTGCTGAAGTGGCATCAGTTCTGTAAATCAGACTACACGTGAGTATGGGTGCAGGCCCCGGCCAGCTGTGGAGGCCCCTGGTAACACTCTTCCCCAAGCGCCTGGTGCTCGAGTACCCCCAGCTCCTCCGAAGTGGGCTGTTGAGGCGCGGTGTTCCTATGGGTTACTGCACTCACCGTTTTTTTTACGGCTGCCGGCTGCCAGGCATCTTTCCAGGGTCTGCCGCGATCTTTCCTCCTGCTGCTGCTTCTGTTGTCTCAGCTTTTCCTCTCTGACTCTTTTGAAAGGAACAAATAAAGGATGGGTTAAACGCGATGTGCAGGTACACTGTGAATATGCTTTTGACATAGAGCATCAACACCTAATGTTACATCTTGCATCTAACAGCGTAAGACCACCGGAGCACTGGGGTTTGGGTCTAGCCCATGCTGGAGTTTGTTGTTGTGAAGGTGGGAAGAGGGAAGCACTTCCTGCAGTTGATGCTGCTTTTTCTGGAGTGAGCGATGGAAAAAGCAAGTCAGGCTTTGCAGATGGAGATGTTGGACAGTTGTTCTCTGTTACAGACATGCTCTGTACCACTTTCAGCAGGTGATTTGTGCTCTGCAGTTGACCAGGATGCTCATCGGCTTTGTGGGTGAACGATGCTTATTCTCTCTTAAGTTCTCACCAGTGCAACCCAGTCTGTAACCTACAGATGGGAGTAGGAGGGTCTTATGCCCGTGGAGCTACGCTTCGCCTACATGGGCACAGCGGAGGCTGATATGGTTAACTGGCTCCGAGTCCCTATGGAAAAGCAGCACTGGAACAGAAGCAGGCTCAAGATACTGAACACTGCAGCAGAGAGGAGGTGAATTCTTAACGTTGTGATCTTCAGGAGATTTCTAAATGCTCATTGGAGGTTTTTTGGTTTGGTCGGTTTTGCTTTTTAATTGGGGGGGGGGGGGGGGGGTGTGAAAGGAGGTGTCAGATTCCTTCCTGAATTCTCTTCCTTCCTCAGAGCAGAAGAAAAGTGCGTCTTCATTCTTTGGTGAGTGAAGAGTGCAAACCCATTCACAGAACATCAGGAAGCAGCCTCACGCCCTTTCTACTACAAAGGTGAAGAAAGATGCAGAGAAAGAGAGTAAAGTAGGAGGGAAATGCAACTGTTGCGGCTTTAAATCCTCACACTAATTTTTTTTTTTTCCTCCACTCTGCTGGGTCTGAACTGCCTGGGGATGCCCAGACACAATCAGCTGTCCAGTTGCGTCTTTCCTGTTTGAGAGGGGAAATTTTGTGTGTGTGAGCAGAGAGCAATGTGTCTCATTTCGGAAGCTTATTTTCTTGTGTTAATTGGTTACTATATTAATTTAATAATACGAGTTAAAGTTAACAGTTTTGTAGAAGAAACATTTGAAAGCTGGCATTGCTGACAAGTGGAATTCTGTACCTGTTGAAGGCTGGCAAAATATCAGGGCGTGTCAGGCTTTGAGTGTGTTAAATAACTACAGAGGAGCAATTTTCTATTTAATCAGTTGAAGATTATTACTGCAATATTTTGTTCTTAAAACGATGAGTATTATCATTTAATTTGATTAGGAGATTTGTTCTTTTTTTTTCTTTCTTTTTTTTTCTTGTTCCAGATTTTGCCCTTTTCTAATGTAGTTTACAGGGCTTTTCTAATGTAGCTGTGGGCTGCTGCTCGCTGAACTGGAGACGTGAGTACTATGAGCGTGAAACTGTTACAGAACTGAAATGGGATGTATTGGTCTCATGGGCTTTCAGATTCCTGTTACAGTGCCCTGGGTTGATCTGACAAATTTGGTCCTTTCAGTGGCTTTGCTTTTGGCTGTCAACTTTTAAAAAGAGAGGCCCCATTTCCAGAAGAGGGTCTTGTCTTACCTCATCCTCCGTTCCTTTTCTTTGGCTTTCTCAGCCTGTTCTAACTTTGCTGGTGGGATTCTCTCCAAGTTGTCCAGCAGATCATTGAGCTGTTTTTCTATCACCATTAGCATCTGCACTGTCTGCAGATTTGCTTCATTTTCTCCAGTGCAGTGGCAGTAGACTTCCAGCACCTTCTTGTTCAGGCTTGTGAGCATTGTGTCCTAGCAATGAGAGGAGATATGGTGAGCAGCACAGCTGGTTCTGCCCAGTAGAACCACACCATGCCTTCAAAAGCCAAGGAAATTAGTACATTTAATTCCCTCAACAAGACCTGATTGCTTGTTTCCTGCTTTGCTTAGCCCCAGGATCTGGGACAGAGGGCTGCATTCAGCCATCCTTCTGCTGGTCTCATCATCCAGCTTTGCTGTGGCCTGCGACAGGTTGCAGCTGCCCGGCTGCCTCCGCAAGCCCTGCTCCGGCCTTGCAGAAGCTACGTGGAGCAGACACATTTGCCCCGGTTTGCTGCCTCAGCAGTGCCCCAAAGCTGCCTATGCTACAGCTGAGAAACAGCACCGATCCCTCCCCGGTGCTACCCCTGTCTGCTTCTTTCCCAGGGTGGATAAGGCTGAAGGAGAGGAACCGTTTATGAGCGTGTAACCTCCCTTGCCTTGATCTTGGGATGTACCTCGTCATCAGCTTTGTATTCTCTAGAGGAAAACAGGTGAACTTTGAGCGTCAGATCTGCTGCTCTCTCTTCTTCCTTAGCGATGGAGGATTTGAGGGTGACTACCTGCTGTTTCAGCTCTGCTAACTTCTTCTCCCTAGGCCAGAGGAGAAAGGAGATTATTTTGAAAAGGGCATCTGCAAAAGCCATGCCTCCTCTGCTGCTCCCAGCCTGGGACCGTCCCTCCCACTTCTGGCAGATGGAGGTGATGCTTCGTGCCATTGCTGGGGATCTTGCACCCACAGCTCCGAGGACAGAGGGCACCTGGGGTGCGCAGTTACTGTGCTGGTGTGGGGGAGGGAGACGGGGCATAGCTGAACAGTCAAGATTTTTTAATAAGTCAATGGGGGAAGTAGATTATATTTAAAAACTTTCACGAGGGGATAAGCTACACTTTAAATGGGAATATATGTGTCTACCTGCCACTGAAATACTGTATTGCAATTACACTTGGGGTCCCTGCTGGCTTCCTCTAGGAAGGGTTTGCATTGAGTTGAATAGGCACTGGTCTGGATCACTCCAGGACATGCCTTGTTTCCTCCTTTGATCTTTGTTTATGAGAATTACAGGATACTTCTGGCTTATGTCCACTCCAGGATGCTAAATGCCTCAGTTCCCCAGCCTGTGCCTTGAGGACTAAGGAATTAGTCCCAAGCTCAAGTCCTATCTCCTAAACTACGTAGATGAGAGACTCTCCCAGGAGCTCACAAGGTGGTGGATGGGCTGCAGCCGGGCTCTAAGGTAAGTGACAGATCCTCTGTTGTGTGCTGCATGAACAGCATTACGTGTGGCTTGCAGAGGTGATGGCGAGGTACCAGTGGGGGAAGAGGAGGTCACTTAGGTTTGAAAGCTAGCACACAGGGACCCCTGCCCACCACTTGCGGGGTCACACTTACATGCTTTCATGTGTGGTGATGAAAGTGTGTTGGACCTTGTCCAGACTTTCCTTGATCTCCTGGGAATTCTGGGTGAAGGACAAGTTCTCTTCCTCCATCTCCTTGAAAACAGACAGCAGTTGTTGGGGATCAGTAAAGTACAGCTTGGGCTCCTGGAGTGGAAAACACACGCAATGAGTTTTTGTCCTCCTCTAGCTTCTTTTCCATTGAACTACATGGAAGTTGGTCTGCACCAGCCCAGGTTACTCAAATGGTCTCCCACGTAGAAGGGTCTGTAACTGTCCATGTACCAATGTCTCCCACCTCTCTGGTGTGTGTAGCCTGGTGCTGCCTCAGTAGCTCACCCCCAAAACAAGTTGCATTTTGGGGATTAAAAAGTGGTGCAAACTGTTGTGAGTGGGAAAACAATTTCAGACATAAACCAATAATTTCGCTAATTTAAAAATCTCCTATTACATGATGTCAAATCTTGTTGCGGGATGGCAAGCTTTGAGATGATGATAGTTTTTTGGAAAGGGGAGGAGGAAAGTTAAATTATGGTATTTATACTATATTTAAAACAGGAACTTTATGACTGTATAAACAGACATTTATAATTAGTGACTACACAAACTCCTTAATACCATAAATAATGGTTAGAAGGTGAGAGAAACTAGTAACATCAATAAACGACACAGGACAAACAGAAAGTGTAAGTATTTCAATACGAGATTCTGACCTCATCTTCATCCGAGCAGGTTTCACGTTCGGCATCCTCCAGTGAACTTCTGAAAAATCAGTTTGTGTACAGGCCCTTAGAGAAATCACAGCTCAAAGGAGACCTTGTCGGTGAATTACGAATGCTGCTGCTGTTTGCTCTTGCTCTTTGCTCCTGTGCAGTCCTTTGCACTTTCACATGTTTGCTCCCCCATGACTGTGGGCATTTTGGGGGGCAGCAGGATCTCGAGGTCACATGGACAAGCAGCGTGGGAGCCACGTCTGTCCGCAAGCAAGCTGCCTTGCCAGCAGGGTTGGGACATGACGTGTGAGCCTGAACTGAGGGCATTGATCCAAATGCCTTTAAACTCGATGGCAGGCTGGGCTCTTGGGCAACGAGCAGGCAGAGGCAAGAGCCTTGTTTAAACAGGCTGAGGCAGCAGCACAGCAAGCGTAGAGAAAGCCTTGTGCTCCGTGTGGGATGTGGTACTGCTCCTGCACGGCATGGTGTGGCCACCATGGGAGTCTGCAGTTTATACCTGCCCTGGGAGAAGGCTGCTGAGTGTCTGCTCTGTGCAGACTGCTACCGCTAACCAGCAGTGCAGCCTCTTTCTTCCCTGCTCTGCCCCAGGGACACGCCAGCGTGAGGGCTGGAAGAGCAAGGCAAGAGGTGCCTGCCTGGTGTCGGGAGCAGAGCCTGCTCATCACCTTCGCTTGCGCCTGTCACCCTGTGTCTTGGAGGGGTGAAAAACCTCCGTCTGCATCATCTTCACACCAGCCCCGCTTGTGTCCGCGTTGTTCCTGCCATGTGGCAGCAGCCCAGCCATCGCAGTGGCTTCACGAGGGCTGGCACATGGCAGCCCTGCTTGGGAGAACCTGGCACCTGCAACACTCAGGGTGGAGGCAGAGGAAACGGCCCTGCAAGCAATAATTTAGTTCAAGCTCTCTTGATAGCCAGGTTTCTTGGCCTTAGGATACTCACCGGCCATTCATGCTTTGCTTTTCCAGGCAATTTCTTCCTTTGCCTGAGAAAGCTGGAGCTGGCCATGCTTGTCTAGTACTCCCACCTGCCCCTCCACTTCTCACACTGGCCCTGCCTATGTTGCAGCAGTGTTACTCTGCCCACATCCCAGTATATACTGTCTGAAGGCTCTTACTGAAAGTAGATACACTGCAATGTGGGTCCACAGTGACCTTGGACCTTCATTAATGGCAAAGCAACAGGCAGCTATTTGCACAGCAGCGGCGACCAACAGAGGGAACTGGTAACTCAGCCACAACTGAGCCACAGAGATGCTTTGCTCCAGCACAAGGCCTATGATTCCCCCTGGGGTCAATGCCCAAGCTCTTTGGGCAGGCCCTCGGCAGAGGATTTGAGGATGGAGCTCTGTTGGAGTAGCTATACAGGTTTCTACTGGTATTTGGATTTGTTCCAGTGAGACTGAGACCTTGGTATGCTCACAGCGAAGTTTTCCTCTATACTGACTCCTGGTCAGTTGAGTGCTCCCTACAGTACTAAAGTCTGTTCTTTGTAATGTCTTCTACTTACAGTTTTCTTGTAGCTAGAGGCTTCAGGAAGTTTTTGAGCTGTGGCCTGATCTCATGCAATGAGCTGAATTCCAAACTTTTCAAAGGCACCAGGGAACTTGGCACATCTATATAACCAGTACTGTAGGGACTGGCAGTGTTTGTCCTGGCTGTCAGGTCCTGGCCTGGAGACAAGAGGAGATGCACACTTAGGGCATGGGGCTGTCCCAGCGAGGAGTGGGCAGCTCTGCCCCGGCCCTCACCTTGCTCTGCGGCAGTGGGAGGCGAGGCACTGTCTTCATTAGCTTTGGATGCTGTTTTCAAGTCCTCTTCCTTTTTGTGCTTTTTTCCATGTTCCTCCTGCCACTCTTTCGGAGAGAGCTTATAGAGGAAGTCCCTGTACATCCTGTACTCCTGCAGAGTTTGCTGGAATCTGGATATATCACTGGGGTGAGAGAAGTGGACAAAGTTCGTTAGCAGGGAGGAAAGCCCTTGTTTGAACAGGTTCTTTCTAACTCTTGATATTCATCTTCACCCAGAGAAGGGACAAGAGGGCACAGGTCTTCATGGACATGCAAAGACAAAAGGGAACCTGCCCTGCATGCTCTCTGTGGCTCCTTGTGTGGAAGCTGTCTGGTCACGTCTCTGTGGCCAGACCCTTGCTATTGCACTGGGCTTGCTACTTTGGGAATTTTTACTTGAAAATGAACGAGAAATCTTGCAGCTCAACACAGAATTAGAATTAAAATTGTTTTCTTTCTCTTCTTTCCCCAGGTCACCATTAAAATGCATTACTTAGTTTTGCTTGGTTTTTAATCTGAGACTAGAGATTATTTCTTGGTTTTGGAATATTTCTACTTTTAAAAAATATCATTAAAAACCTAATTGAGTTGTTTTAGAAACAAAGCCAGCATCTGGAAAGCAAAAGCTGAAACATTTTGACTCTTAAAATTGGACATTTTTAGATTTTTTTTTTTTCCCAATTCCTTTTTTTCACGAGGGCTGTGAGGGTATAGCACTGTGGAGGCTGTCAAAGGCTAGGCAGGAACAGTGTGCAACCGTTACCTTTGGAGGTGCTCAATTTGGGAAGTGATTGCCTGCATCTCCTTTGTTTTCTTCATCTTTGCTGCGGTTTCTTTTTCAGCACTGGGGAAGAATGCATAAACATAAGCCATAAAACAATTTAGCAGTAAGTAGGTAGTTAACCGAGGTGCATATAAAACAGAGAAAAAGATGTTGGGGCAGTGCTGGAAATCTCTCTTACAGATGTATCCCAGGTGATGCTTGGCTCCCACCTGAAGGCCCTGCTCGTCTTGGCAAAAAGGGTACGAGGTCCCAGTGACACTTCCAGGTCAGGGCCTCCCTAATTTGGCTGCTGCTGAGTGATATCTTTAATGGGCTGAATTGCTCAACTTGCTTCACTTAGGGACTGTTCCTGCTGTGAGGGTTGGCCAGAAGCACCTCCCTCTTGTAAGGGTGTTGTGAGAAGAATAGTGGGTTCCATGCTGCAGCCAAATCAAGTGCTTTTGCAATGAGGGGATTCCCCAGCTATTGGTCTCCTTCCTCTCTTTCATTGAATGCATGTGGGGAAAATGCCACCAGGACTGTAATTCTGGGAAAACTCAGACACAGATCATCTAGATGATGGGTGCTAGCCAAAACCCTGGAGAGAGGTCAAGCGAAAGACTTCCTGTATGCAGTACAGAAGAGCACATGGGTGGTTCCCTCAACTTCCATTACATTTTCAGGGCTTGAACATAGTTTTTATGGCTCTGCTTCAGGAACTCATCAAATGTGGCAGCATCCTTCTCCAGGTAGTATTCAGCCTTTTCCAGTTTTCTTTCCTCATCCTTTATTATGTTCTCCATCCTCTGAATCTCGTCTCGCTTTACTGCCATGGCATACTGAAATGAACCCAAAAGGCAATGCCATCACGTCGGTTGGTTTTAAAGGTATGTTGGTTTACCTTTGTTTTTGGTTACCTTATTACCTTATAGTTGTTGCCGGAGAGGGTAAGGATTTCAAAGCAAGAACTTATTGCAAGTGAGGAACACAGAGGCCAGGAGGTATTTCAAAAATAACATGGCAAATAAACAGTGAAACTAAAGACAGAATCCAGAAGTCTCAGCACTGTGTTAACTCCTGGCTGACAAAGATTGATTCAGTTGTGTTACAGCACAATAACAGAGGTGAATAATGGGGATATTCTAGCACAGCTCCCTTATTTTTAGTCCAGAATGGCTCCCAGATATAATTTATGTATGAGACAGCAAGAGCCAAAAGGTCAGTATATCTGTGCATCTGACAAATGAAATAGTTGCATGGCTGCTACTGGATGGTGTGAATGACTTATGTTCCTTTCTTTCTTGGTTAGGGATACTGGGCTATAGGCTATGACTGTCTTGAACACAGGAGTTGGACAATCAGTTCGTGAGCTCTGATGTGTGCCTCTTTGGTGTGATCTCTAGGCAATGGATGTCAGGGGGAAAAAAAAACCAGGGAAGAATGATTAAATGAACAGAAAGTAACATTCTTAAAGCAAAGTACCTCAAGTATAAATATCTCTCTTCTGTAATTTATGTAGTCACGGAATGTCTCCTTTACTAATGGGTAATCTGAAATGAGAATATAAAGTTAATCAGACTAGAGAGGGAAATATGGCTGAGGTGAAACACAGTGAATATGGAGGCTGCCATGAGCGTGGGTGTGGCTGGCATTGGAACCAGCAGTACAGATTATTTTATTATAGTTTTGCCCTTGTTTAATATCAGTTTCATATGGGCTTTTGTGGAGTAAAACCGGGTAGAACAGAGTGGAGAATCTGGTCCTTACAAAGGCCAATGTCCTCTAGGCACTAATGACAAAGCTACTCCTCATGTCAGAGGCAGAAGATTTAGGCCCACATCCACTAAAATGCAACTTTAGGCCAACTTCGTAGAAATATCTACATGACGCAAGGTCCAGCAAACTCTCAGCTGACTCCCAGCTGATCCCCAGAGCTCATGGCTACAGCAGAGGCCATAGGGGATGGTGGAGTCCAAGGGCTACTGTGGTGGAGGTGATACATGCTCTGCATGTAAATGCACAAGGTGGAGGCGGACCAGCCACACAGAGGTTGGCAAGACGCAGCGTGTAACTATTCTGCCTGCAAGAGCTCACTAAATTCAGCTACAGCTAACTGCTACTCCCATCCCCTCTCTGATTTCTGCTGGAGGGTGTTACCCAACTGAGCAGCACCACTATAAAGATGGTAACTATTTCCTACCTTTTGCAATGGCTGTCTTCCATAAAAGACTCTCCTGAAGAGTTTTCAGTCTCTCTTTATTTGTTGCCTGTTTTCTGTTGTCCTCTTTTTCCTCCTTTTGCAGAGCTTTCCTGACTTCTTTTTGCTTTGCTTTTATTTTAGTGGAGTAAGTAATTTTCTCATGGATTTTCATGGTCTTCATCCTTTCACGTTCCTAGGAGAAGTCAGTTATGTGGACAGTTTCATTATGTTCCTTGTTTGCTGTATTTTTTAAAGACGTGAGTGGTTATTCACAGTCTAGAAATTTTTCTGACTAATCCCAATGATATTCTGTCTTAAAGCAACTGAAACACTTCATTTCTTAGCATTTGTTCTCATTAGTTTACTGATTTGTATTCTGCATCCAGCCACCAGCTGTGCCAGTTTGTACCTACTCAGTGTCCTCATTTTTCCTTCCTGGATTATTCCTGGGAGAGAATGGAAATTTTCAGAGATACATCCTTCAAGTCGCCTGGTAAAAGGGAGCAACACGACAGCCCACACTCAATACTGACTCAGTCCAGCTTTCACAAAGGTATGTAAACCCTCAAGTTTGTATTGAGAGGATCTATTCAAACCCCCTCCAGAGCTTCCTAGAGGGCTCAGAGCTTTTGTGTGGGCTGAAGTATAATTCATTGCTGTCTGCGCAGGTTGGGCATGGGTTAGGCTCAGCACATCACTCAGTAGACATCCTTAGTGCACTTCTTCCTAAGCCCTTCCCCATACTTGTATAGTGACCTTCAACCCAAGCTAAAACTAGACTATCAGTCATCAATGTGAGGTGAGGAGGCTGCTTAAGCTTGTTTGAAGCCCTCCTTTCGTGATTTAGAAACAAAGACCTCTTGCTTCCACACTACTGCCTGGCTTCTGCAACCACGTGCACCAAACAGACCTCTCAGAGATGCAACAACCTCTCTATGACTTCCCACCCCCTTTGGATTGCATGCCCTAAGGAAAGTCTGCTGCAGAAATAAGGAAGAAAGAGACCTTCCTGAGAGCCAGCTCTCTGGACTGGGTCGCAGGGTTGCAATTCCCTATCTTATGCAGAGAAACCCAAGGTATGAAACCGATGTCATCCTGCTTCCTAGGCATTCATTTCGTTTGCAGTTCAGAAGAAGGTCGCATCAAACATTGGATACAGCTGCCCAAACAGAAAGCAAGCCCGTTTAAGTGGAAAGCAAGAGGTCTCGCACCAAAGTTTTATGTAGAAATCAATGCTAACAGCACTGGCAGGTATCTTCTCCAGGAACAGGAATGAGTGGTAAATCTACCTTGAAGTAAGTAAACAAAATGGCAATATCCAGATTTTGCACTAGCAACCAGCAAGCTTGTGCTCAGACCAGCTCTTGGTAAAGTTAATCGCTCAGCATGGACTTCAGTGGACTTGAAGCTGATCTGGGGGAGTCTCAGCCGAATTTCACAGCTGTTGTTTGTCTGGTACACTATATTTTGGTATGACTTTATATTTGTTGGTTGCCTACCCTAGTGAACTGCTTGTATGCACGTTGGCGTAAAGCATATATACGTACCGCCTTAGCCTTTTTTCTTTCCTTGTCCCTTATTGACAAAATATCGATATCTGAAGAAATTGTAAATGGATTTTTCATTTGGTTTTCTTCATCCTCTTCTGGACTTCCTGCAAAAAAATATGGATGAGGATGTAGCAGATGAGAGGTAGAATATCATGACCCAGTGTAAGGGGACTTGGATCTGCTGCATCACGCCTGAAGGGTGGGCAGGCAGCTGTGCTCACAGCTGCAGATGTCCAGTGATGCTGGATCAAGAGCAGGGAGCTGGATAGGACTTATAAAGAAGCCAGTGATATAACTGAGACCTCTGTATCGTTTATGTCACTTGACCATATCTGCTGATAAACTCAGGACTTCAGCCAGGGATTTCTTGTAAGTCTGGAGCTATTTTACCCATCTCATCTGATCGCGGGCGGAAGAAGCTGAATACAGGCCTCTCCTTTGATCTAACAACAAAAACTGCCAGAATGTTGTGAACTTACCTGACAGCACAAGCTGGGTTTCCATTCCAGGTTTGGAAGGGACACTTTCAGATGTTGATTCTGTATATGGAGATGGTGTCTTTGACTCTGGCCAAAGGAAAACCATAAACAAATCAATCAAGTGCCAGTTACTGCCAGTGTCTGATGTAGTAGGTTTTACAGCAGTGATGGCCCTAGGGGCTTTCTGGGTCTTAACAACTAAGCCTTTTCTGTCTGTAGAAATTAACAAAAAGTTTCAGTAAACTGGAAAATGTTTGTGTTCTGACCCCAAAAAAGAGACGTTCATCCCTGGCTTATGTGAAAGCTGTGTAAAACACAGTCCTCCTTACACAAACACTGATGGGAAAGCAAAGACCAAACAATCTGGAGATAACAAGCAACTCAAGTCTCTTGCCTTTTGTTCCACACACATCTCCAGTTCTGATCCAGATCCATACTTTTTCTTTATCCCTTCACTAGTGCATGAGCAACATTTTTCCTCCCTAAAGTTCTTACCTGAAATCGCTTCACCGTTTTGGGTTTCTCGTGATAAGGCTGAGTGACTGCTGGACAGCACAGACACGCTGCTGGGGAACTCTGTCATGCTTTTTAACTTCAGGCTGGCAAACTCTTGAAGGTTAGGATTTTGGGTTTTTGTAGTCTTTGCGACATTTCCTAGGGGAAAAGGCATAATTGTAATGATCTCACAAAGAATAGACAGACAATTGTTAAAGTTATCCTCTAATCAAAAAAAAGCAGCAAGCTGGGTCCAGGGAGGCATTAGTTCAATTAATGCAGTTTTGCTGCTGCGACCATTTCTGGTCTGCACTGATATAAGGCACAGCAGAAAATATCCTCTTCCGCTTGCACTAGTTTTAAGGCTATTTTAAATCATCATTTTTTCTTCTGAACAGCCTCCAGTTTTTATGTATTTTGAGCTAAACTCATCTGGCCTAATTTCCATGTACGTCCTTGGTGCTTTGTGTTTCCTATTGTCTGTGTTTCTGCAGCTGCCCAATTAGCATCTTATTCTTTGGAGGTGTCAAACTTTCACTGTTGATGAGACACAGAGGCTGAGGCAGAATTTAGGCTGTTTGAATACACCCCAAATGTTTTCTCTCTCCTTTTCAGTTCCTGAAGTACCTTTTTCAAAAGCCTGCTTGACTGGTCACTTAGGTTTCATGTCCCTCTGAACTTTGGCATAACTTCACGGGATATTTTTCTCTAGTCATACCTCATCTACGTCCTGGAACAACATAACCTCTGACGATGATGTGAGTTTTGGAGAAACCCCCATCAGGCCAGGGGCAGGAAGGCAATCAAATGCCTGCAGCGTTCAGTTGAATACACTTTGTGAAATATGCCGAGTAGTTGCAGCAAACACCTGGATGTTCAGCCCTCTTACTACACATCTTGACTTCTGCAATCTAAAACCCTTCTCATAAAAAATCTTCTAGTTCATGTAGTTGATTTAAATTCCTGCTACAGGGAATGGGACTGAAAAGCAGGACTAGACAGAGGATACTGGCATGTGGAAAACAATTATCAGTATAACTCTCTGAGACAGAAAGTGCTTTAAAATATTATTTTAGCAAAGTATAGGAATTTGTTTCTAAAATTAACTTATAAATATGCATTTTATCAAGATATTGATGGTTTGATGTTGTTTGCACACCACTTTGGAAATAATGCCAAAAGCTACAAAACTGCTACTTGTGTTAATTATAATTATTAAGCTCAATAATGCAGATAAAAAATTGCTTTGGTGCTAAAATAATTTGGCATATATTTCACTGCCTCTGACATTTTTATGTTTCAGTAGCTACATACCAATGGCCAGTAGTATGTGAATCAATAGATAAGGCACTCATGGTTTTAATTTACTCAGTGCTTTTCCCTAACATTAAGCCACTGTGCAGAAAAAGATATGCCAAAGTAAACATGCGAACAGTTCTAAAAAATAATACAATAAGATCCCAGAGCACTGGAAGAGTGTATGTTTTATACACTCAAATTATTTAAATGATCCCATTGCTTGCAGAGAAGGCTTGTTATGCTCACTGGGAAATCATTCCAAGTTTTGAGCTATAGACCAGCTCTTCCGGGGACAGATGTGCCCCATTTCCCACCACGTACCCCCCACTCGCCCACAGAGGAGATGGGTGGTGCGTGTGATTTCCCAGTGACACACGCCAGCACCTCCACTTGTCTAAGTGAGACACGGTATCCAATGCCAAAAACTGAAGAGAAATTGCTGTGATTGCCCTCACCCCCTTTATTTTTTGCTTTCTTACCCAAAGGAGAGCTCCTCTGGGCTCCTCTCTGCAGGGGGCTGCGGTCAGATGTGGATGTGGCCGCAGTGCAGCTCGGCTCTGCCCTGGGCTTTCGCCCGTCTCTTGTTTGCAGTGCTATGGAAACCTGCGCTCCCGTTGCCGGGCAGCATCTGACCCGCAGGCATCGCTCCCTTCTCGCCCTAGGCCCGGGCC